CATATATAACTTCGATTCTTGGTAGAACTTACAACTAGTGTGATTTTTGATTTTTGATAAGAGTTTTGAATTATAGTGAGACTTTCAACTTTTGGTAGAACTTTCGACTTTTGGTGAAGATTTTGAATTTCAGTAAGGATTTCGAATTTCAGTGAGACTTTCAATTTTCGGTAAGTTTCAAATTTCGGTGAGACTTTTGATTTCAGTGAGTTTTGAATTTTAGTAAGACTTTTAACTTTCAGCAACTTAAACTTTCAGCAAGAATTTCAATTTTCAATAAGGGTTTCTAATTTCAGTAAAACTTTCAACTTTTGATAAAACTTTTGACTTTAATAAAACTTTCAACTTTCATTAGAACTTTTGACTCTCGGTGAGACTTTTGGTGAGACTTTTGACTTTTGGTAGAACTTTTAACTTCAGTAAGGATTTCGAATTTCATGAAACTTTTACTTTTAGTAAAGATTCAAATTTTAATGTGACTTTCGACTTTTGATAAAACTTTCAACTTTGTGAGACTTTAAAATTTTAGTAGAACTTTTGACTTTTGATAAAACTTTTGACTTTCAGTAAGGGTTTTAACTTTCAATAGGACTTTTGATTTTCAGTAAAACTTTTAGCTTTTGGTAAGGGTTTCGACTTTTAGTAAGAATTTTGACTTTCGGTAAGATTTTAACTTTAATTTTAAAATTACTGAATAAAATAGATAGCACAAAGTGCTATCTATCGCACTAGTATATTTTTAAAGCAATATAAAATAAAAATTATTTTTATAAAAAAATAAGTTTTAATATAACATAAAATTTACAATTCAATTTTATAATAAAAACATAATAAAAACCTAAAGTTTTCATAATAAATATTTTTATCTTATATTAATATTTAATAAATTATACTAACTTCAGATTATATGTATATATGTCCTGAAATAATATCTAATGCTTAATACAATTAAGCAAAACTTGATCTCAAATATCTGATAAAATTGAATTACAATAATTTTATACTATATTATAATAAAAGAATACACAAGGTAAAATTATGAATTTTATCACTCAATGGACACAAATCACTAACTCTTCCCAATGATCACTTGTACCAAATCTTTCTTGAAAACATTTGCTATTTACAAAAAATTTTAT